AAATAAGGATAAATTTTGAAATGTTTAAAGAAAGGTTGTGCAATGGGTGCTCATGCATATTGTATCTAGAAAAATAGACTTATTTACATAGAAAAGGAGTAAAAATCACCTGAGAAGGAATAAGATAATAAAAGCTGGGAAGTAGAATTTAAACTTCAAGATTACTCTAGATAGTCTGATTATAATGAGGAAAAAGATCTCTATAAAGTTATCTAATATCCTGAATTCTTTGACGAAGATCTTGAAATTAGAACCCCTTAAAAATAAATTACATAAAATGAAGCAGAATAAATAGATACTAAGATTAAGAGAAAGTCTCACAAGTCAAATCCAAAAGAAGGAGTTAGCAATAACTCAAAGTCATCTAATAAACTTCACTCAAAGTTCAATTACCCCTTAAGAGGCGGAAAGATTAGCATAGTATGTGACGGTCACAAAGGTGAGCCTAAAGCTTGTATTTGTAATTTTTCTTAGAACGATCCAAATACTTTTAAAAACAGTGAATGGATTATGTGTGATTTCTGTGAAATGTGGTATCATGGCAAATGTATTGGATTGAGTAATAAGGAGATAAGAGATTTGGATTAATATTCTTGCAAAAAATGCGTAAATTGGTCTAATTAAAGAATAAATTACTTGCTTCCTGCTATAATTTAAACAAACTGTAATAACGGAATGTTATTTCCAATTCAATAAGAAAATTAGGAAAAGTTTAATAGTTGGAAGATTTGGAGTCATGAGATATTTCCATCTGAAAAATTCAAATTAAAACTTATCGATATGATACTTATATCCTAAATATGGATAAAGCAAAGCAAGTAGTTAGTTGAGTTTTCAATTAATTATGAAATAGTCAAACAACAATTAATTAGGTCTTAATACATTCCTATTAATAACTACTACTAAATAACGGAATTGAATTATAAAATTTGCAAAGTGATTGAGTTTGAAAAATCCTAATCTGATATATTTGATGATATTTCTCACAAAGATATAAGGCCAATTATCTCAGATGGTATGAAGGAAGAAGAAAATATAACTTACAATTTAGAGTTGGCTTAAAAATTGTAATCATTAATTAATGAAGAAGAAACAACTTTCAAACTGACATCAATAAAATGTGAAGAATTAAAAAACTTAGTAACTCTAATAGAATCTAATATTAAACTTTGTGAAACTATAACGAATAAAGAAACTAAAATCTCAATTGAGGATCTAGATAATGCTAAATAGAGTTTATCAAAAGTCGATGGCTATAAAAGTGAAATGAAAACTTATATAGAAAAAATATTGAAGGAGGGCAAAGAGGCTCAATAATAAATATCACCTTTCCTTAAACCAATTGATGTGCAAATATTT